CAAGAGCTGCAGCAGCGGAACCTGCCGCACCTGAGCCAGATGCCAAGACAGCAAGCGAGGAGGGAATCGACAGAGCGCGGCAAGCATTTGAGGAGGAGAAAGCTCGGAAAGCAGCTGCGTTAGAGCGAGCAAGGGCGGCAAGAGCTGCAGCAACCGCGACTGAGATCGAGCCAGATGTCAGGGGGGATAACGAAGCAGGAGGGAAAACAGCAATTGAGCAAGAAAAGGCTCGAAAAGCTGCAGCTTTGGAACGAGCTCGGGCTGCGCGAGCTGCTTCTCAAGATGCTGAGACACCGCCGGCAGCTGAATCAGGAATTGACAGAGCGAGGAAAGCATTTGAGGAGGAGAAGGCTCGGAAGGCTGCCGCCTTGGAGAGGGCCCGTGCTGCTCGAGCGGCGGAACAACAGAATGGTGTGTCCGCAGCAGAGGCTGGAGTCGACCGTGCCAGGAAGGCCTTCGAAGAAGAGAAAGCGAGAAAGCAAGCGGCATTGGAACGAGCCAGAGCGGCTCGGGTTGCTGCTGAAGGCGAATCCAACGACGCCCGAAGCGCCTTTGACGAGGAAAAGGCCCGCAAAGCGGCAGCACTGGAGCGAGCACGTGCAGCCTCCGGAGTGGACAGGGCTCGCAAAGCCTTCGAGGAAGAGAAGGAACGCAAAGCAGCCGCTTTGGAGAGAGCCCGGAGAGCAGGAGATGGATATGCAGGCGAATGAACCTTAGGGCCTAGGACAAGAAAAGGGGGACAATTCTTGAAGAGAAACAGTGCTGTGCTTGTGTTTGTATTTGTGTATGTGTGTGTGTGGGCAGGCACAGCCAATGGCACATCCAGAGGTGAGGCTGGATTGGATCGAGCCAAACAAGCTTTCGAGCAGGCTTGGCCCTTTTCCATCCGGATTTTGCAGACATGAGCTTAGACTTTAGCACCGAGGAGAAGGCCCGTAAAGCAGCTGCTCGGAGCCTAAAAGAAGGAGCTGCCTGTCTAGCGGTGCTCCCAGCCGATCAAGCCGAGGCACTGGAGCGAGCAAGGGCCCGTGCACGGGCTGCAGGCAGCTTTGCCGTGTGATTGGGTGCCAAAGATCTAAAAAACTTGCTGGGCCAACACTTATGCACTACAAAGCAGGTCACAGCAATCATCTCAGCGCATTCTCGCATGCAAGTACGCTGGGAATGCTGAAGATGTACATGCATACACATGCATCACCAGCACCTCAAGTTTTCTTCATAGAAAGTCAGCCACATTCCCGCTGCCTCTTTTGTGATTCCTGAGAATATCGCTCGTTTCGGACGTCTCTCGTCACACTTCAACGATCTTTTCGCTCCTTCTTGACAACGTGCACTGCAGTGGCGCGGCTTCTGTATAAGCATCCATTACCCGCAGAATTCCTTGCTGGTTTGGGTAAGGCAAACAAGATGCCATGAATGCAATTGCATGCTACTTGCTCGAAAGCGTTTGTTGGAATCTATTTTGTTGATTCTTTCACAGCAATGTCCCCCTGTACAGGTCAAGCAGATGCTGCCGATGAGCTCGGGCTGGGCCCAAATGCGAGCTTCTTAACGAACAGATTCTAAAGTGTATTCGGTTCGATTTGGCCCTGTGCTGCGTACAAGATGCCGTAGCCATTCTGTTCATGAGACGTGTCATTTCATACGGGAAGCGAGCTGCGCTTGAAACAAACTCCAGGCTGGTCGAGGCCGAGGCCGAGGGCTTGGAGGCGGGTCTGGCCCGCCGTTGTCTAGCATTGGCACAAAAAGAGCATGAAAACATTCCATCCGAACGGGCCACACCTACTGGGCCACCCGAATGTAAAATTTAGGGGAAGGAGCCGTTCAGAACATGAGACACATAGACACAGCATAGCCACAGAAATGAATAGACTCCTCACAACATGTCTTGATTTTTGGATAGATGCAGGAATGGACTCCCTTCAGTATGGTGTACAGACTAGATGTGTTCTGCACCAACCCTTGAGACACATTGGTGCTGCCTTTGTGACTACTTCGTCATTCTTTCTTGTGCAAATAGCGTGGTTCTGGTGAAAGCGCCAGAGGCTTTGGAAGCTGGCAGCTTGGTCGTGGTGGCCTTGGCGCACGCGGCCTTGGAGGCGTCCGTAGTACGGGTCGGGTTGGATGCCAAGTATGGTAGGATCTGGTAGGTGGATATGCGGCACCAATTTGTTGAGGTTGGATGCAGGAGCGTATGTTGTTCCTCCCGTGGTTGAACCAATTGATCTATGAGAGTAAGTAGGGGAGACAGTCAGACAAGGTGAGTAGTGTCGATTGATGGACTGACATCCAAGAGATGAACTAAACATATCAAATGGAGTCCACTGGCGCTCAGACCCATTCAGACCAGACGGTCTAGACTTGCTGATTGTGTCACAAGTTCTCACATTCTGCTGCTTGACATGCTTGGGCCACGTTGCTGAGACATTTGTCAAGCAGGTGCCCGCGGTGTGGGGCGTGGAATGTTTGGTGGATGGGCTGGCCAGATTGCCCAGAACGATGAAACAGGAGCAGAATTGATTGAGAGTCTTTACTGTATGTCTTTGTGTATTTGGGCTGGCCAGCTAGTGCTGTTTTGTGGTGTGCTAGCTGGACCCATCCTTCAGATTGGCAGAGTCCGGCATTCGCATATTTAGTGCTGAGGTGGTGCACAAGCCCTTACGCCAGGTGTACTTGTGCCCCTTGGCCAGAGAGGGTTGCATATGCCATCTCATGCCATTTGCATCATTTTGCAGCAAGTCTCTCACATGTCTTCCTTCACAACTTCGCTAGTTTCCATCCCTATGGAGCTCTGGAACTCTTCTTCGGGTCTTGTTCTGCCGCCGGTGCCGCCGGTGGCACGAGGGCTTCCACACTCGTCGTCGCCCGAAGACATGAGGCGACTTTACGGACTGAAGGCGCACGCAGCTGGTTTTGAGGGCACTCCGCCCACTACGCAAGGGATCTTTGAAGGGCTTCGAAATCCTTGTCCGACCTTTTGTGAGGCGAAACCCGAACTCAATGGCATGATTGGCAATTGCATCGCTTTTGACAAGAGCTCCGCCCTCGGTGGGAAGACTTTTTTTCTGTATATTTTGTTTGTCGGCCTGACGGACGTTTGAGGCAAGGGGAGATGGCAGGCCGTGCCCTGTGGCAATATACGCCAATACTGAACTGAGTTGACGAGCGCCCGAAGTCAGCGTGGTTGGCAAATGACGCCCCAAGCGATCGGGGCATCGGGGCCAGGTTCGTTTGGAAGAGCGGCCTCAGGCGAGGTTGGGTTCTTCCCGCACCAGTGGAAGGAAGTGACATGCAGATTGGAGTTCCTATATTATAAGCCATTCAAACTTATCCTGGCTTCGTCAAGAGGGATGTTTGCATTCGAGCATTAAGTAGACCGGAGCTGATGTTCTTTAAGCTCGATTCTCCAACAAGGCGGCAAAGAAGACGCAGTCATTTAGAGCAGTTCATATTTCTTTCGAACTGAGGCCGATATGCTGTTCAAGGAGGACAACTTACAACCAGCTCCTGCTTCAGGGAGGAATGGCTGTCAAGCAATTAATGCGCAAATAGATCACGAGACAATTGGTTGGCGGGTTGCTGCAAGGTCAGCGTCGACGAGTACGAGGCAGCTCCATGTGCCTGATGCTTTCTTGGTGCTTGGATTCACGTTCTGGGCAGCTTCAAGTGACACGGCAACGGCAGGCGGCCCAGGCTGCAGCGGAGGGCATGGACTCCAGACTAGCGGCCGTGGACTCAACAAGTTTGGCCTGGGCGACGGTTCAAACTGGATGAATAGCAGTGCAGGCTTAAGTAAATGGTACTGAGTGGTCGATTGCATGACTGAAGCAATTCATCATGATTTTGGGGTGTCATGCTGAGTCATGCTTGAAGATACTGAAGAGGCAGATGTTCTCAGGACCGGCTGCGATGTCCTGCTGAGCGGCCGCCTCAATCTTTGGTATTTTCCAGATTTTGTCCATCCTGTGTGCGCATGGGAGTGTCCAACGAAGGCACGGGATGAACGTGGAAGTGGCGGCCGAAGTCTACGAATGTGATGTCTAGCGCTGAATGGACGACGCAGACATGCAAGAAATGCCCTCTTTCGGACTAGTAGCAAGAAGCTACTAGTAGCTTCTCGCTACTGGTAGGAATGGCCTCCACCCTAGTAGCCATGGCCTCCAACCTAATAGCTTCTTGCTACTAGTAGGTAATGCCCTTGTGACTAGTTGAATGACCCATCATGGGCCCACAACCGCCTACGGCCGATGGCTGGCAGCCTGAGGTTTGTGAAGCGGACATCGAGGTCAGTACCAAGCTGATGTACTGCGAACGCCAGCGACTCAGGGTCACTGGCCGGCTTAGCTTGGCCTCATGGCTGGCAACGCCATAGCCATAGCTTAGCCACAGCCAAGAGAGTTTTCTTCAAGTCAGGAACCTGATGTGAACTCATCGGAAGTGCTCTTTTTTTGGACCTGCTGAGGTTGTGACTACGCCATTTGTGAAGCTTGTTCAGTGCGAATCTCGGAATGTTCATGTCATGTGACAAAGCTTTGAAAACAAGAGAAGGGGAGAGGGAGAGGAGAGAGGGGGAGATAGAGGAGAGAGAGAGAGAGAGAGAGACGTGTGTGAAGCAGGTTGAGATGCTGAAGCGCGAAGCTTTAAAAGCATAAGCTGAAGGATGCTGAGGGTGTGGCACAAAACCCAGAGAAAACCGGGTAAAAAATGGCACCTGGAAAAGACAGGTTCCACATGTGCAAAGTCAACAACAGATGGACAATTGGGTGGAGGATCGTACTGGTTTGAGACCCACTGATTCCTCTGTTCAGTTTTGGCTGTTATACTTCGCAAATGCCAGCTGCTGGTATAGAATAGAATAGAATAGAGCCCCGCCAACATTGGGAAAGCTCCTGATTCCGATACGATTTCTCAGGCAGCATATTCTGGTTCCCAAGTTGCGATACCTGCGAGGTGGCCCTGTGAGTTCGACGTTTAAATTTTAACGTGCCATGAAATCGCCGACGGGCTGCTGACGGGAAGAGCATCAGATCGCATTGAGGATTAGCAGTCCGGGCTGTGAGCACGATCACCAAGCTGCGACACACATGTGAGCCAAAAACGCTCCTGGGCGCATCTTGAAATGCCAAGTTGAGATGGTTTTAGGACCTTTGCCTCTGCCGTTTTCTAGCATTTCAAGCGCCATCCATGTCCCAACATTCGGAGGGCGAGGCAGAGCAGAGTCAGGCACTCAGTTGGCTTTTGGTGCCTTTGAAGAAATCAAGGTCTCGGAGCGACTACAGAGGCAATTTACATCAACCTTCAAGAGTCAATTGAACAAATGGCTGTGTCTGATGTATTGCACCGGTCATTACAGTTATTGCCTTCAAGCGTTGCTCAGTTCTTGGCCGCAGCACCGACACCTGTCGCCGATCGACCGAGGTCAACCTCTGATCAAACCTGGGCCAACCCAGGGCAGCGTGGGCAGTGCGGGCTGCTGCTGGGTGGCCTTGACGGGGATCTCTGTCCTGGTGCTGGTCCTTATAGCTGCCGTCGTCGTGCTGAACTACACGGGGCACACTGACTGGGTGGATTTAGGCGAACACGAGGGGCGGGGAGTGTCGCAAAGCTACCAAGCCATCAATAGGTTATCAAATTCAACCGGCTTCTTGCTGCATCCTTCGCCCGTTGTCCTCCATTTTTCGGAAAAGCGCTCATTGGAGGTCTGGCGGACGCAGGTGTTGGGGTCGAGAAAGCGCGTGAAGGTGCAGCCACTGTGGGGAGCTACGTGGCATCGAGAAGCTCTGAGATCCTTGCCCAAGTTTAGACATTTTTGCCCTTCAACATCGGGAGAAGTGCGTGTGCCAGTCTTTACGTGGCAATGCTGAGACCCCGCATCCACACTATGAGGTTGATTGTTGCAGTGGATGCACACCGTGGTAAGCACGAGAGAACATGATATGACATGGAAGCATCGACTGCATAAATAAACGAGCAGGCTGAAAGCAGAGTTAATGTAGACTCTTGATTGATATGATTAATAAACCATTACAATCCAAATGGGTGGGTTTATCAATCAAGAGTCTACATGATGTAGTTCATGCAGGTTCCTGAAGCCACAGCAGAAGCCCAGCTTGTTCTGTTGGTCACTCATTCAAGCTGGTTCTGGAGAGCCTGGGGCTCGGCCTTCAGGATCCTGAGTTGAGTGTGTTCGTTGTGGCTCAGCGGTTTTGACATTGGATTCCGCCAAGGGAGGATCTGATACGACAGCATCGAGAGAGAAACACCGGCATCTTCAGATGTGATGATTGGTTTCCTGCCATTGAAGAAACTGACGCCAAAGAGAATGAGAGTAGACACAAATGAGCATCCCTCAATCTGTGTTTAAGCAAAGGCTCAAAACAATGTGGTCGGACAGATCTGAAACATCCACTTCATAATGCAAATTCCAGACTCACTAGCCACTAGTTACAAAGGACGATGCAAGATAGAGTTCCCGCTTGCAGGCTATTGCTGAGTGACCATCCAGTAAGCTTCCAAGATGTGAAGTCTATGAGCATTGGTGCATTCAATTCCAAGCGGGCTCCATGGAACTCATGGCAAGAACCTAAGATGGCGGCATCAGCCTTTGAATATCTGATGATTTGTCAAGTTGTGGAATCACACAGGACAGTCAGAGGAGCAGCTGTGGTGGTACTGGAAAGAGAGCAGGTCGCATGAAGACGGCCCCACAAAACATCACAAAGGTGCGTAGCCAGTAGTTAGGCAAGAATATGTGCGTTTTGCCAATAGTATATAGTAAATATGTAATATGATATGCGAACTGCCCAGATGATAGAGTTTTCCTTTTTTTGTGGTTTGTGTGTGTGTGTGTGAGTGTGCTTGTTTGTTGGTGTTGGGCAGACTAAGACTATCAAGAAATCGGCGCGAGTGGTACTGAGAAACGAATGAGCGGGAGAGGACGGGAGAAGGGCAGGAGCAAGAATCAAAAGATAGACCGCGGCAGAGACAAAGGAAAAAAAAAAAGGCAGTCGCAGAAAACAGAGGGACAGCGAAAAAGACAAAGTGAGATGTATTATTGTTATTGTTATTGTTTTTGGTTATTCCTATTAGCAGTAGTAGTAGGAGGAGGAGGCGGAGTAGTAGTAGTAGTAGTCGTGGTGGTGGTGGTGGAGGAAAATAGCGAAACTTGAGGAGAGCAAAGCAGCGAGAAAGTTATGAAGCTCAACAGGCAGGGTAGAAAGACGTTTCGAACTGTCAGGGAACATACAGAGCAGGCAAGAGTAGCCATCACGAGCCTGGCTCAATCTAAATACGGTGCGTAGGAGTGATGTCAGATACGGCTAGTTTCTCCACGGACTGCAAAAGTAAAGGCTTGGTTGGTCCTGTTTGTGAGCGCTGAGTTCGGGAATCGTAGCTTTGAACAACGATGTTCCGAGCAGAATGGCACGGAATAGCAAAACTTGGGCACCCCAAAAGTGCAGCCTAGCACAGCTTGACACTGAGGTACAATGTGCCAGTCTTTCTGCGAGCATGGAAGCAGGTGGTGGATGAAGACCAGCGATTCCAACAATATGACTGGACGGTGAAGGTCGACGCGGCGCCTTGGATGTTCCATGCTTCCGTGAGGCCAACAGGTCACATCACTGTAGAGCATCGAAGGACATTTGGATGTATGCGAACGACATCACTGCCGATAAGCTGTGTTAAAGCATCATTCATAGTGCATGCGCTTTCATTCATGGTCCGTTCCACACATGGTCGGTTCCAAGGACACCTTTTTTTGTCATGATCGCCTGCGACAGCGGCTGGTGAATACCAACTCCAGTGAAGCCTACATTTGGTTGAATTATGATGCATTCAGGCAGCAAGCAACAGGTGGGCTGAGCCTCTTTTCAAACAACTGGTGTTTTGTTGCTGGCTGGCCGAGCATTTTTTTTGCTTTCACCGACCTAGCTATGCCACGACTCGTGAGCCATGCCACGACTCGTGAGCCATGCCACGTCCAGCTCCAGAGATGTGCGCCACCGTTTTTGGGTCCTGCTAATGGAGCTACACTCCTGCGTTGGCCCTTTGTTCTTTCACCATCCGCCGCACATGTTCCTCTATAAAATGCTGGTCGTTTGACTACAAAATGATACAACATGTGTTTGGAACCATCATTTTACAATTATATATAGAGAGTTAATGAGAGTTACAATCTTCATGAAATGACCGGGGAGAGATAAATCTCCATAAAATGACTGGCAAGAGTCAAGAGATGAACTCTTTTTTACGTAAATTGACTCGCAAGAGATAAAGTATGATAAAGTCTCTGTAAAAGGACTACAAGAGATGTCATGCACAGCAGACAACATCATTGTCTCTATAACATGCTATGAATGCAATGACAAGCTTTTTTGATATATATATATACATATTCATTTGTTTCTGGTGTGTCATGATGAATTAGTGGACCATTGATCGCTCCTATCAAATGACCTTGGATTTCATTCTTTACTGTTTTTGATTTGTCATTTATAATGAACATATGTGGATCGCACTGTCTGGTCTCCTTCGTTTGTCATTTTATAGAGATCTCTAATTTTGGCTATTACTATTCGGACTTGGTTTTATCATTTTATAGAGGCGGCACCTGTCTATCCCTCAAGTGACCTTTAACTAGAGGGCTATCTGGCTTGGAATTTTATAGAAATATCCTTGCCGGTCATTTGAAAGAGGTTTATTGGCTTGCCACCGCTTCTATTGACATGACTTCTCTAAAGAATGCCCAGCAAGTGATCCCAAGTTGAATTTTTAAACGCACCCCATTCCCGAAACTCGAGTCAAGCATGTCTTGACTCATGAAGCTCAAATTATTACATTGTTGTTGTGAATTTGTATTTTCACTCCAGGTAATGTATACACTTTGCCATGCACTGTATATAGGATATCATTTACGCTTACCTCGTAGCTCGCGGACCAAAACAGGAGCGGTAGCTTAACGGCTGTTTTTCTAGGTTATCAGCCGTAGTGCTCTAACCACAGCCATGGACGCCCTCGCTCTTCCTGGTAACGCCACATCACCGGTTGCCGTACCAGCCAGTCTCGGAACTGCGCCCACGATAGATCTAGATGATCCAACGGGTTCAGCCCCTGTGACTGCGTACTTTCAGTTTGTGCAGCAAAACGCCCAGCAGTAATGAGGAAGCAATCATTGCTGAGGCTGAGAGAAGGCACAAGGAGGTAATGGTACAATGGTTGGATATGGAAAAAGCCAAGTTCCACCAAGCGATCCTTGAAGTAGAAGGCAAACACCACGATGAGACTAGTTCAGTGAAGCAACAAGCCCAATCTAGCTACAACAAGTTGCAAGCAGAGCTTAGCGCTGCCAAAGCAAGTGTGTTCAAGCAAGAGAATACAAGGCGTTGGAGGTAGAAACAAAGAAAGACAGCCTCGCGCGCGCCTGCCACGGTGATGGAGGCCACTGTGGCCATTACTGCGCGTCCCTGAGCATGGCCTCGCGCGGCCCAGCCACGGTGATGGAGGCTACAGGGGAAATGGGTTCCCTACGTACTCAACTCATGCACGGTTGTCAGCAAACGGCTAGCGCTATCACCAGCAATGCCGAGCAAGGTGTAGCGAAGCTTCGTGCAGAGTTTGGTGAACGTGAAAGCAAACTTCGTGACCTGAGGGACGCAGAAAATGAAAACTATAGTCTGCAGCAAATCATCGATGACTTGAGGGAGCACAGCCACCATCAACGGTGAGCCCCTCGGCATCAGGCTCTTCTTCCTCGTGGGGATGGAGCTCATGGAGTTGGAGCCAATGGGGTGAGCAGCGGCAGTGGGATGGGGGCGATGGAGCTAGTTGAGCCAAGTCTCAACATCTTTGGCGAGCATAATTCGGTAGCTTTTGCATGATATCCTTTGTAATTATGTATTGCGGTTTTCCTCCCAAGTCCAAACTTTCAAGCTTTCTTTTGACGGCGGGGGGTGAATAACTAAATTGCACTTACTGGGCCACGAAAGGCATCGGGTTGCTAGCGCCCACCGTGTGCCAATGCTCAGCCTGCTTCATCGCAGTGCCCAGCACCAGCCCTAGTGCACTTTCCGCGTCCAGCTTCGGTATCAAAGATACCTCAGCTGAGGGGGGAGTATTTTCACTCCAGGTAATATGTGCACTTTGCCATGCACTGTATATAGGGTATCATGTACGCTTACATCGTAGCTCGCGGCCCAAAACATGAGCGGTAGCTTAACGGCGGCTTTTATAGAATTTAGGGACGGAACTCGATGTTGAGCCATGTGATGTCTAACTGGCGTGGTTTTGATCAGCTGAGGCTGCGGCAAATCCTGGCCCTTTGGACTTTCTGGGGCCGATCGAAATCTTTTCCAAGAAAGCTGTAGCTTGGTCATTTCGCCCCCTCTGAGTGAGCGCAAGCGAACCCAGTAGGGTGCCCGCCTCCCATGACAGACTGTGACCTAGCTGTGCTCAGGTCCAGCTCTATCAGCAGAAGCATTGGCAGGCAGACATGAAGGAAACTGGTATCCTTCATCATCTTCCAGGGTAGCTTCAACTCCCCTTTCCCAATCGGCGTCCCGAATTCGAGCTGACGGTTGCAAGATTCAGAAGGCAAAACTCAGATCTCTCTTGGCAGTGGTAGGTGTGCCCACGACCACATCCGCAGACACAAGGGGAAGATGCCTTCATGCTCCTTGTCTGCTGGGCTATGGCCCCTTGTGTGCACGAATTCTTATGTGTAAAGAATTGCGGGGTCCCATCTCGCCAGGAAAGACTGCTTTCTAAATCTGGGTGCCAATACGAAAACGGACTACAGCATTCTGGAGAATGCATGTGACTGGTGCAAACCACTTTCTCCTGAGCAGTGTGCTGATAGCAGCTCGGCCTCGCTAGGTCCCAGGTAAAGCCTGCATGCAGCCCATGTGTGTTGATTTACTGTAAGGGGTACCACTTGTGTGTTGGCTGTGTGGGCCAAATCTGTGCGCCTTCTTGGATTTCAATTAGAGTTGCATGACTGCATGTTTCATTTGGCTTCCCGAGGCCAACATGTCGCCTTTCATCCATTCAAGGATGTGAAGCAGACTTGGTTGCACTGGTTTTTCGTGCACTTTTGAAAGAGTCTTTTGCACGGGTAGACTCCCTGGTGACATGGGTTTTAGATTAGTAACAAGGGCATTGCTACTAATAACAAGGTGCATTACTACCAGTAGCTAGAAGAGACTAGGAACAAGGTACATCGCTACTAGTAGGTAGAAGCTACGCAGCTACTAGTAAAGTAGCATTTGCAACTTGCCATTGAGGATCTATGCCGAGTGCCTTGAGCATGCAGCGAATGCTGCTTCGTGCTAGGCACAGCGATCGCCGCTTGATTGGTGAGAGGCTGTCGTGCAGTGTCTAAGACACGCCAACAGCTGTACGGCTCAACCCCCTGAGGGGGCTGGGCCAGGGTCATGATTTTGTTCAGCATTCCACAAGTGACGCTTTTTGCTGCAAGCTCCACATATTTGGCACCAGCCCAATGCATGGATACAGTGATACAGTGGATCATGGTGGCAAGATGCAGAGAAAGATTGGAACAGCTCATTTGCTATGGAGTACCCACTGCCTCAACGCCCTTAAATTAAAATCCGCCAGTCCATTAATGCAGCGTGATTCTGCTAGATTCTTGGGTGCTTGATGAACGTGCTCAAATGCTACGGTGACGCATGCCAGAATGCTTAACAATCATTTGTCAGAAAGTGGGTCAAGGCTGTAACAAAGCTTAATTAATGGAGGCAACAAGTTGAGAGTTTGGCCATGATTGGCAAGATTGAAAGCTGGACTCCCCACAAAACATTTTCATGCACTTGCCTCAAGACGCTTCTGTACAAGGTCATGGCCAGGTGTTTGTTTTGTCCTGTCAGCCGCCGGGCCCGCCTCATGGGCGGAAGATTGATGAAGGCTTGGCAACAATCGGAGAGGATGTCGAGGGTTCTTTAACAGTCCTCTCATTTTGCAAGGCTGCAGGCTGTTTGGCTTTGGTAGCATCTGGATTGTGCTTCGGCACGCACAGGTGGGAGTATTGTTTGGGGTTGTGAATGGCCGTTTTCCACCCGCAGGATCCTGGCCGTTTTCATGGGCCCCATCGCTTTGCTAAACGTCCGCCAGCATCGCGCCAGAATTTCAGATACTACACTGCTACAATGCGTCTGCCGGCACATGTGTCTGCCGGCTGCCACCGGAGTCTTTCGGTTGGGGTGCATTGAATGCCTTTTATGTCACCACTCCGCCAGCGTGTCATCCGGAGCTCGATCTTCAGTTCCCGCACCCTTTCCGACAGCGCTTGCGTCCTCTATGATTGAGGTTTGGAAGGGCGCCAGGTGTGAAGCAGAGACGTGCGTAGAAAAGCTGACGGTGGTGTTGGGTTCTATGTTGCCTGGTTGTGCGAGACGGACGAACCGTTACCACGATTGAGCATGAACACTGAGCAACAGCAACAAGCACATGTTGAGCAACAGATGCGTCCCGTTCTCAGCCGCGTTGCTTTCTCCGCCACCGCCCGAATCGCATAACAGAGTCTGAGATCCTTACCAAGAATCACAAGACTGCTTCCCTGTCAGAATCCCGCAGACAACCAAGAAGAACCCAGCCAGACCAAACAGAACCTCCCCTGCCGCCTGGCGTCAACACGACCTTTGTGTTGGACCAGTTGGTGTGTGCCTGGAGATATCCAAGACAGACCTGGAGATCACTCCTTGACAGACCTGAAGATCCTGAGTCGATTGACTCCAAGACCCCGTCGCACTTGTAAAGTACAAGACTGGAGCTCCACCACCACCTCTGGGGAAGGTGCCCACAAGCGTGCATGAGTCCCCGCGATGCTGTACTAGTCCTGTATGCAAGCTGCAAGTCACAAGGCATCACAAGGCGTTGCGTGCTAAAGAAGGCCTTTCGTGGGATTGCAGGATCAGAAGCACACGCTGATGAGTGACTACAGGTCATTGGTGCGCAACGCTGAAAGTGTCAGAGCTTACTGCACTACCGAAGGTCAGAAAGAGCACTGGTGGCATCTCGGTGCGGAAGTAGGGCCATGCGAGTCGTGGACTGCTTGAACCCCCTTCTGACTCTCGGTCCAGAGAGTCAGAGATTGGCGGCAATTTTCGCCTCAAAAAACGGATTCTAGCTTTTTGTTACTACTAAGGCACCTGTTACTACTAGCGTGGCACTTGTTACTGCTAGCTTAAAGTGCGGAGAGTTTGTGCAGCTTTTCTGAACAACCACCGCCTCCTTTTTGACACGATGATTGCCATCAAGAGGCAATGCAAGCCCCTCTTCCACCACCAATCATCACTGAGGTCAAGCAGAAACAGCGGCAACAAGGAAAAAGGGAAGCTACTACGAACAAGGTGCATCGCTACTAGTAACAGGTGCATCGCTACTAGTAGCTAGAAGCTACTAGGAAAAAGGGAAGAGAAAGTTCAAGTCCGGACAACGAGTTCGAGACTGTCGAAGAAGAGGATACTGACGCATCAGCGCTCGAAGGCGCTCAAACAGGCGGCGAGACGAGGTTGCCGGAGATGAGGAAGAGCCTGATGTCCAAGGCATTTTGGAAGGTGTTTCCGATCTTCTTCAGTGACCATTCTACCTGCCGTCAGCCGTTGGTGGACATTTGTTTCTTTTGAGTGCGAGCATTGTGGATGCACATGTTAGATTTGGTTCTCACTTGAAACAGTTTGTTGCGTTCGCTTGGTGCAGCTGTTGGTCTTAGTCTTCTACGGTTTTCTTCACAATGTTGGATGTTCCCTTTCCTGTTATACTTGAGAATTCCTGTGTACAGTAACCCTCATGTATGGACATAGTTTATGGTCAACTTGTACTTTTGGCTCAAGTTGTCAAAAAGGTCCGCAGCCGTTGCCACACCGCGGCCACGACGGACTTGACTTGTTGTTTCTTGGTGTTGTTTGTGTTGGTGTTCCGGTTCACCGGTTCAAGTGGTTATCAGCCGTGTCGGCTTTTGATTGTTTTCTTGCTCTTGTTACAACACAACAGCATCCTTCAGTAGCGTGGTTGCGGGGTCCACAGAAAACCCGTGCATGTCACGTCGGCCGCGGGCGCCTTCCCGATCGCCTCCGCGTCGACCGTGGCGGCCTCCTGAGCCGCCAGGCCCGCCGCCCAATCCACAGCGGCGAGGCATTCGAGCAGGTGCTGCCGCACGGCGACGCAGGGACGCGTACATTGCCAATTCGGGAGGCGATCCGTCGGCTGTTCCTATCGTTCACGCTGGCGGTCAAAGAAGGCCACTTGGGACTTCTAGGTATTGGGAGCCGAGTGCAAGTGAGGATTCGGGTGAGGAGACTGACGAAGTTGAGTTTGTCGCATTTACAGCAGCAGTTGATTTGACTTCGTTGCAGGCAGAGCATCTTGTGCCGCGTTCAAGGCTTTGGAGTCCATCAGGTCGGAATCCATCAGGCACTGCGTCGTCCAGCTCCTCAGGTCCGTCGGCAAAACCGAAGGCAGTTCCGAGCCGAGCGACTTCGAGTGTTGTTGACACACCTGCCGGTAATCGGCCTTACGACATCCTCAAGTACTACCACCCGGTGCCTGGAGTCAGTCTTCACCCGTGGTCGCGAGTTGACATTGTTTACAGAGAGGCCAGCCAAGTTTTACGTGTGGGCGAACGGTGATTCGTTGAGGCAGGCAGCAGAAAGGCTGAGTCACTGGGGTTCTGATCCGGTGATTGCATTGGACTACCATCAGGTCCTTGACGTTGACCCGAGTGTCAATCCTCCGGATCGTGTGGATCACGTTGGTAATCCGCCTGCGGGCCACGTTGCAGCAGTTCGTCGCTTGCGTCAGGAGATTGAAGAGTTGGGCTTGCATTGTCGGGTGAAGGTCATTGTTTTGTCGCACATTCACGACAGCGTGGTGAACGAGAGGAATTTGATCACCGCGGTACAGCAGAGTTCATTGTCGGTTGACTGTGTGATTGTCACCCGTGAGAGAACGGGCCCAGGTGGAAAGTTTGAGGTGCTGAGATCGTTGACTCGAGGTCAAGCTGTGATTTTGGACGGCAACACTGAGGTGCTTCGAGAGTTCAGTGAAGCGAGCCTCATTGCGATTCAGATTCGCAAACCTCGAGTTGCAGCGATTTTTGGTGAAGAGCAAAGGTCTTGGAGCTTGTCAGCGCCCTGGCTTGTTGATCGATTGGTGCGATTCGTGCAGCGCCATTCGACCCCTCGCGATTGAGTTCGCATCAAAGCCGCTCCTGTCCGGCTGCTTCAAGCGCCGCAGGAGCCTTGTTCGCTAGGCCAGTTCCCGAAAGAGCCTGTGCCAATCGTGCATTCGTTCCCGCCAAAAGAAAGAGTGGATTGGGAGTGTTTGGATAGTTGGCCAGTGAATCATGTCAATGTCAGTTCAGATACTACTGTTGGTGGTTTGGCAGTTGCTGTTAGGAGCAGGTCTCAATCTTCTCACGGTTCCGGAACACCTCATGAGGGAAGAAGAGGGTCAAAGCCTCCGAAGAGATCTTTGAGTAGAGTCATCAAAAACATGCCCAAAGGTGCTCAATCCCAATCTCAGACTCAAGCAAAAGGGTCATCAGTGGTTGAACCATCGATTCCGGCGCTCACTGACCTTCGGTCGTTGCCTTCGTCCAGTGGGTTGCTCCAGAGATCGGTAGGTCCTTCTGGGTTCCAGGGTCCCGGAGAAGAAGATGAAGTCATGCCCAATCAATCAAGCTTGACTCAGGAATTGCACCTTCATGACGCCCAGTCTTTTAACACGGTCCAGGTGGCAAATGTTTGTACTGACCATGCAGAGTTCGCTCGTGTTGTAGCTGAATCACAGCGACTCATCGGGGAAGCAGACACCAGGGCTTTGCACTTTGAAGGTATTGCTCAACAAGTCTTCCAGGAAGCCACTGCTCATATGGGTGTTACCTGACATCCCTTGTCGAAGAACTCCGTGGTCAGAATGAAGTGCTCCAAACAACAATCACGAGCTTGCATGAAGCGGTCCAAGATGTCAAGCAAACTCTTGAGAACCAGATCAAATTCAACCAATCCATGTTTGAGGGTCAGCTTCGCAAAGCGAAAGATGAGATCGATTGTTTGTCCGACCTCAACCAAAAGTCCCTCGACCTGTTAGGCCATAAAGATTCAGAAATCCAACGTCTTTGCCAAGAGTCTTCGTCTCGACAAGATCGCATCTCGTCGCTGGAGGCCCGACTGGCTGCTTCAAGCGCCGCGGTCATCCAGTCGCCTGCGCCTGCATTCGTCTCGAAGACTGTGCCTGATGCATCTTCGCCCAAGGACACCGAAGGAGGCAATAGAGCGATGTTGGAGTCGATTATGGAAGCCGTTCAGTCACTCAGTTCTAGAATGTCGACACTTGAATCGAGCCGAAATAGCACGGATCCAAGTCGTGAGCCCCGACCTTCGTTCGATCGTTCTCATGAAGCAGGTAGTTGTTCATTCATCCTCGCCTCGTGTAGGACCTCCTCGCGGACTTCGTGTTGCCAAAGGCTTTCCTGGAGGTCCGCCGGATCCCAACGATCAGGGGGGTGAAGGGTCGGATGATGATGAAGAGGAGTTGATTTCAGAATCGCCCTCACATGC